GGGGACGCTGAAGCCGGGCGCCTGCGGTGTGCCCCGGCGCATCCGCACGGGAGCCGCGGCGCCGACTCAGGCCCCCAATGAGGCCCCCACCCCGCGCGCTGCCCCGCGAGGAGCGTCGCGCTCCGCGACTCCCCGCACCGTCGCCAACTCCGCCGTCGGGCCTTCACCGAAGCCAACGACAAACCCTCGCCAGTGGCGGCTCTAAATTGAGCCGCCGTGCCGGGCAGAAGTCGACAACAACAAAAAAAGCGGGCCGCTGGGCCGCTGGGCCGCACCCGGCACTCCGGTGCCATGGCGCAGGCCGTCCGCCCCTCCGCCGAGCACGATGGCCGCGCCGCGCGCAAGCACCCTCGTGCAGACTTGCCTGTGAGATCGTCACTCTCGAGACCTTCCCGTCGCGCGCGCTCTACGGCAACAATTGAGCAAAAAGAAGAAAGGCTTTTACATTGGGCCGCAAGGCACACCAGCAGGCGGCAGGCCATTCCTCTCGCAGGCTCTCACAAGGAAAGGAAAATATAATACAACTTAATTTAATTAAGTTACACAACAAACACAAATGATAAAAAAAACTGCGACAACCACACAAATCGCCGTGGCAAATACACAAATGCACAAAAATGAAATGCTACGAGATGGTGCTGATTTGCTTGTTTGTGTGTTGGCCTTCGCCTCCAACTGTTCTTCTCCGCAGCAGCAACGACAAACGCAGCCGCGCACCGCGCCATCTAACTCCTGGCGGGCCCTTCGACTGCTACTTGCTGCCGCCCGACTTCGCACGGCATACTCGGCCAAACGCCACGATAGAGCCTCCATCGTGGACAAGCGTGAGCGAGTGGTAGATGCCGTACCCTGACAGAAACGCAAGGGAACCGGCAATGATCGTCACCAAAGCCGCGACGATCAAGTACCTCAAGTTAAATTTCTTGATGAGACGCATGAACACAAATTGGCCAACGACCGTACTGAGGAGCCCGCAACCGAAAAAGACCCCTGCGTAGTCAATAAGGAAATTGCCCTCAAGTAACAAACTCAGCTCAGAAGAAAAGGCCAAAAATAGGGTTACAGTGCCGCCTGTGGCAGAGACTTCCTCGGGAATAAGGCCAACCTCATACAGAACAAAGCCCAGCACCAACCCGCCCCCGATGCCGAGCATGGCCGCCGCAATTCCTGCCACAACCGCGACCAGAGGATACAGAATTGTGGTTTTGGCGTTCCAATAAAAAAGCAATTTGGACTGTTCCAAACTCGCCAAGCGAAACCGGTACCAGGTAAACAAAAAGACATTTGCAGCGATCGGCACGCAATACGTGACAATATACACCCCACCCCCGCATTTTGTTCGAGGCCTCCACGCAGCGAAGGCCAGATTCACAATGAAAGAAGAGATCACGCACACAATCTCCAGCCACGGGTACTGAGGCTGGGCGGGGCGGGGCGGTTCCTCGGAAACGCCCAATGCATCCTCCGCCCCCTCCACCTCCCCCTCCTCCGACGCTGGGACCGGAGCCGTTTCCCTTCTCACGGCCTGATCTTTCCGATATTGTGCAACCAATTTTAGCACAGTGCGATACAAAACCATCACGAGAAGCACAAACAACAGTATTAGACGAAGCAAGTCAGGGCACAACTTGTTCAGCACCCCTCCAACGAGAGTGCCAATGACCCCAAGCGGGACAAGGAGGGTCAGGTACTGATAGTTGACCAACGGACGCGCCAACTCGGTAGAAGGAAAACGCCTCTGAACGGCAAGGAACACATTCAGGATGCTCTGTCCGCAGATAGTGGCCTGGGACAGCCCCACTGCAACGTCCATCGGCACCCCCATCAGCAGGCAGAACATGGGCACAAGAATGCCGCCACCTCCAACACCAGCCAATACGGCGATGGAGCAAACGGCAAATGCGCACAGGAGCGCCACGCCCGAGAGGGCGGAAAAGCCACTGGCAAGGCCCTTTACAACACACTTCCCCTCCCTGCATTCCATGGCACTGGGGTAGCAGTCGGCCGTTACGTTACAAGAGACGCAGATGCCGAGGTTAGTATCGCACGCGAGTTTTCCGCATTGCAAACACTGGTTCACGCGAGTGCACTTTTCACCCAACGCACCACGCGATGCCAAGAGAGCAAGCAGTAAAAAAAGCAGAAGCCCCTTCTCCCTCTGCATATGCGGAGGCACACAAGCACAGGGTTATAATCTAAAGGAGTAGGCAAAAGTCTATAAGAAATTATACTTGGGGGAAAAAAGCGAACTAAAAGAGAAGCATCGGGTTGGTGCAGGAATAGTTAGAAGCGCAAAGACAGAGGCCGGCCTCTTCTCGGGGCCCGCCAGGAACACGCAACGGCACAAAGTTGAAGAAAAGCGCAAAAAAAAAAGCAAAAAGTAAACAAAAAGCGAACGCAACAAACACCGTATCGCCTGTATGCATCGTTCCAGCGGTGGGGCGGCAAAAGCCTCCAACGGCCTCGCCTTGGGGAAAGACGGCCCTTCCCGCGACGCCCCGCATTGATTCTTCACCCCCCCCCCC